TCTATTTGACGGAACATAATGAAACTCACTGAAAGGGATGATAAAATCACACCGATCGTTTTCGACAAAAAATATTTCACTTTTGATTCAAAATGGCGGCCAAATGCAGGCTTCTGATTAGTCAAAATTTTGATATTGTCTGATTTTCATGAAATTTGGTATGTAGGTATATCATGGAACAACGGTCAATTTCGTAACCTCACTTTCACATTTCGACAAAATGGCAGCCATTTTCTGGCCTCCGATTGGTCGAAATTAAAATGTTGTCTAATTTAATGAAAATTGGTATGTAGGTGTAGTAAGGCACTACGGACACAACTGAAGTGTTCGTTTTGTGAAAAAATCAAAACGGCTGCGTACTTAGCAGGGGAGGGTGACTTTCGCTATTGCTCGCAATAGATGATGTCGCGACCAGTGGAACTTTTCAAATAGGAGGGGATTTAACTGTACTCGCTGGGGCAACGGATATCTGAACAACATGGCAGCGCCAAAACATTCAGTTACGATTTTCCATGAACTTCCATGTAATGAATTGGGTAATATTTTAAAGTCAAAAGGTATCACCTACTTCAAATAAGAAAAAGGGGGATCTAGTTCATCTTTGATAGCAAGCAGACATGTTAAATTGGCCAGATATTGAAAAAGAGGATGAAGCTAAAGCGTCACAGTTGTGACGGACAGTCAGCGGCGGTACAGAGTAGCGTGTGTTATGTAAATGAAACGTCAGAAGGCTTGTTTTGGACAAACAAATTTATTGGAATGTCATTATTAAATGGATTTGATGTGACCTCAATTCTTGCGAGTTATTTTTGTTGGTTCAATAGAGTGAAGGTGGGGCATATTGTCTACACAAGCAGATTGTTTTGCCCCCGTATCCTCGCATTTTCTCGCGAGACTTGTGCATTTTCCGGCAAGAACTCTTCGAAGGATGGTCGCGATATCATCTATTGCAATTCTAGTTATTATTCTTCTTATTATTATTCCGCTTTTATAAGTTTCCGCGCTTAATCTCAGGAACTTTTAATGGAATGCTTATCATAATTTGCATATATTATCAGTACAATTTGTAGTTGTGCATCTCAGGGATGTGTAGTGAAGGGATACGCAACTTCCTTTTTGCCTTAGTAAATATGTTCCGAGTGAGGTTGGCTTATCTCCCTTGATCGGTGTTCTGATACGAGCGCCCCCTAGCGGACAAGCTATGGCTTAATCAGAGCGTGGTTGAAGCGTGAAATTGGTGTGTAAACAAACCAATAATACAGAGTATTACTACATTTTTTGTTTATCTTGTTGTTGTGGGTTGTTTATATTACATCTGGTGGAAGTAGTAGATGGTGTCTAAGGACCCGATGTATTGATTTATTGCCATATTTTTTTCATTTTCTATGACTGTGTTCAACGTCAACCGGATGTTTTTTTTTGAGATTCGAGATTTTGTTTTGCTTACCCAACAAAGTTGTGTTTCTAATTCCTCCTCAACGGAATGGTTTACATTAGAATGAAGTATATCCATGGAAAGCTTAATTAATTTAATTTTGTATGGGGGTAATCTTATGGCGGTGAGTTATTATTATTTTTGTTTCAAAAAGAGCTAATGTTTGTATCACGTCGGAAATGGCGTCATTTTCAGTGAAACCATGTTGTCATCTCGCTGTTTAGATCATAGTTTCTTCCAATAGGCCTATATTCCACCATTTTTCAAACGTGGGATATCAATATATTAAAAGGATGAGTAATTTTTGCAGGTGTAATTTGTGGTATGTGAGTGTTTTTGTTTTTATTGGTCTGGAAACTGACCACTACAGTACTGTGGCGGTACCCAATCCGGGACACTTGTGGGAAAGGGTCTAATGAAAATGGCACGTAATACAAACAAGCAATTTTATTTTTGTAATTTTTATTTAATGATACTCTGAACTGTATGCCGACTTATTTGACTGCCGAATCTGCGCGATTACAGGGGTGTACAATTTAATATATTGAGTACTAGTCCACTACACATCCCTGTCAAAATCGTCGTCTGAAATGTCCGACTCATTATATTCTGTAAACTCTCCAAGCAAGTGTTCTAAATCTATGTCATCATCCCAAGACAGAAAATCAGACGTTGACATGATGTGTGATTCATGATGAGACAATTTTAAAAGCGCTGAAGTATCCGATCGTGAAATGCTATGAACCGGCTCCCTCAGAGTCCAAACCAAAATATAGCACAAACTCAAGATACAGACGATAATATCTCCCGACACAACTACTGTACAGCTAGACATGGTGGCAACGATAACATTTCTCCTGTAATAAAATGAAGACCTACTAATACCACGGACTAATTTAATTCCGTGCTAATACACAGCCCAGTAAACTTGGATAACCGCAATCAAAACACTTCGATTCAGCGATTTGTTAACATGATACCGGAAGCAAGCGCGAGTATAACCTGACACCAGCGCGCAAGCGCAGACCGGCAAGAGTAGGCCCTCGATGACTTCACGGTCCAGTGAACAAACACAAAAGCAAGGATAAGTGTTCGCCACTGGACTCGGAGTTGCAAATCCCTCCACTACACATCCCTGTGCATCTGAATATTATTTTTCCGCGTCAACCATCCAAGATGGCCGCCGCTGCTCTGATTGGCCGAAATCTAACCAGTAATTACATTCGTTCTATTTGACGGAACATGATGAAACTTGGTGAAAGGGATGAAAACATCACACCGATCGTTTTCAACAAAAAATATTTCACTTTTGATTCAAAATGGCGGCCAAATGCTGGATTCTTATTGGTCGAAATTAAAATCTCGTCCGATTTTGTTGAAATTTTGTATATGCGTGCAGGATGGCACTACAAACAAAACTGGGTGTTTGCTTTGTGAAAAAACAAAATGGCTGCCATTTCCTGGGCTCTGAATGGTCAAAAATTCAACGCGAAATCATATCACCAGTAATAACATTCGTTTTATTTCATCGAACATAATGAAACTCAGTGAAAGGGTTAATAACGTCACAGCGCTCGTTTTCGACAAAACATTTATTGACTTTGGATTCAAAATGGCGGCCAAATGCAGGTTTTTCATTGGTCGAAACAAAAATATCGTCCAATTTTGATGAAATTTGGTATGTAGGTATAGTATGGCACTACGAACACAACTGCGGTGTTCGTTTTGTAAAAAAACTAAATGGCTGTCATTTACTGGCCTCTGATTGGTCCAATTTTCTCTAGAAGTTAGAACTGATAGATAGAAGTTAGAATTGATAGATAGAAGTTAGAACTTGGTGGCCAAGTGGTTATAATTAAGGCGTCTGACATTCTGCTTCCACTAGCCCTCCAACACTGGGTCGCAGGTTCGAGGCCTACGTGGGGCAGTCGCCAAGTACTGGCTGTAGGTAGGTGGTTTTTCTCCGGGAACGCTTTCCTCCACCACCAAAACCTGGCACGTTCTTATATGACCATAGCTGTTAATAAGACGTAAAACTCAAACAAACCAAAACCCTAATTTTACCACGATCTGTGGTGATCATTCGGTGAATTTTTGTAAACATTAAAACTTTATTTCATCATATTTTACTGAGTAGATAAAAGAATCAAACAGCAGGCTATGTAACTACAAGATCTGATCTTAGGTTTCTGTGACAAAAACTATAAAGATTAATATGTTGATTTTCAGTTTTAAGACAGAAAATTATCAATTAGTTAAAGATATCATCTGTCAGTATCGACATACCTATGCATGTGTATGATCTATCGCAGTGTGACAGCATGGACGTTCTTTACAGTCGGTACACGATAGAAGAAAAAACAATTATATTTAAAATATACAATTAAACAATTAATTATACAAGTAATATTGATATGGTGATGTGCATTTCATTATAAAGAATATATTAATCATACCATGACAAAATGTTCATTTTGAGACAAAATCCTAAAATCTCGATAATAAGTGGTGGCTTAGTTATCTGTTTTCAGTAAGAAATCCCAGGCTTATTTTTGCAGGCAGCTCATTTTCAAGGAAGTCTTATTTTGGAAGACATTAAGACATTAAGACATTAAGACAGTAAGACATTAAGACAGTAAGACATTAAGACATTAAGACAGTGAGACTTCAAAGGCATTTCGATTTTCATGAAAAAAACCCAATGATGTCTTAGGTTATTAATATTGCTTGGTTTTTTCTCTCAGCTGAACTGCCATATGCCATAGTGTATTGTCCCTCGTTCATCTGTCGGTCAACTTTTCCTTTAAAACACTACTAGTCCTGAACGGCTCGCTGAATTTTGACTGAATTTGGCCTTGAGTATCCTTTTGCAAAGGGAACTCAATTTTTTTCAACGAAAGGTGTGGTCCCCCCCCACCCCCCCATTTTCATTTAGTTTGATTGGAGGGAATTTAGCTGAATTTTGTGTAAAGCATTCTTGGGCAAAGGAGACTCAATGTTGTATAAGAGGGGGGTTGTATAAATGGAGGGTGTGCCCCCCGGGACAAAGGGGCATGGCCTAATAGGAGAACTTGAAGTAAATTTTGTTAAAAATTCCTCTTTTCAGTTTGAAAGGAAGGATTTTAACCAAATTTTGGCAAGAGGGACCCAATTTAGTATAAATGGAGGGTGTGCCCTCCCCATGGGCAGACGGGCAGAGCCCAACAGGGGAAATAGAGGTAAACGGTAAATCTATATAATCATTCTCCTTCAGTTTGATTGGAAGGATTTTAATAAAAATTTGTTCATAGAATCTTTGGCTACAGCTAGGGAGATTCATCATTTAAACAGAGAATGTGGCTGATTCAGGGGACAAGGGGACAGGGCCTTATAGGGGAAACATAGTAATAAGTGATAAATCCTTCCCCTCAGTATGATTGGAGGGATTTCAACCTATTTTTTGGAGGGCATCCTTGGGCAAAGGGGACTCAATTTTGTATAAGCAAAGGGTATGGCACCCACCCTGGTGGGAGAGGGGCAGGGCATAATAGGAGAACTTGAGGTAAATCTATAAAATTCTTTTTCCTTTTTTTTTTTTTTTTTTTTATTATTGGAAGGATTTTTGTCAGAGCATCCTTTGGTTTAAATGTAGCATGTAGTCCCCTTAGGGACAAAAGGACAAAGCTTTATTTCTCTTTTAGTTTGATTGGAGGGATTCTAGCCAATTTTTTGTGGAGTATCCTTGGGCAAAGGGGACTCAATTTTTGTATAAATGTAGGGTTACTTTTAGGGTGCAAAGTGGTGGGGCCCAAACAGGGAAATAGCTGTATTTATTTATAATCCTTCCAAATTCATTGGGGAAGAAAGACGGGTCCCAAATAAGTGACCTGTGTTGCTGAAAGAAAGTGCCAATATTTGGAAATAGTTGCAGTATTATATTTATAAAGAAAATTTTCCCATGGTTGCTTTATTATCTAGGTGAGCACTACAAGTCCTCTGGGCCTCTTGTTCTTGAATCGAATTGTTGCAACTGTAAATCATACAATGTGATAATTTTACACGTTAAAGCTTTTTCGGTCGACAGGGAAAATGTGGCTACTGCCTGGAATCCAATGCTTATTTCAAAACTGTCTTACTTTTCAAGACTTTCAAGACTGGCTTACTTTTCAGGACTTTCAAGACTCGCTTACTTTTCAAGACCGGCTTATTATAAAGATAGGTTTGTAAGGAATCCAAAGTTTATCTTCAAGGCCGACCTTTTTCAAATCAGGCTTATTATCGAGATTTTAGGATATTAAGCTTTCTCTGCATCCACTTGTACAAGTTTTACAAAGTTTGTCTTTCCCATTTCCATTTTCAATCCTTAGAATTTCACAGGTAGTGAATACGTAGTGCACCAATTTGTCCTCCTACAAGTACACCTGGAATCCTTATTCTACAGAGTCACTGCTTACCACCGGGTCGTCAACATCTCATTGCAAAATGACCTTCAGCTGGTTCAAAATTACATCAACTTTGTCTTTGGTCAAACCATCTTGAATTTAAAAAGAAAAAAAGAAACCGTGTAGATATAATGAGACTTTGTTAAGATTTGCAGCAGTAGACCCTACTGATGTTGAAGCTGAGTAGGAAATAATATCATTGAAGTGAAAAGGCTGTAAACTTACATAACATCACTGTCATCTACTTCCAAGGTAGCTAAGATATGTCTTAGTACATGTGGACTGAAAAAGTTACAGCACCACCATTTGTACAATTTTGAATCCCTGCCTCCCATGACAGCTTCTGACCAAATATGATTGATATCCATGGCATAATTCTACAGTCTCCTGGGGGTTCAGCCCAACCATTTGTACAATTTTGAATCTCAACTACCGAGGGATGCTTCCAGTCAAATATGGTTGATAGTTCCAGAGAAAAAGTCCCTTAAATCAATATAGCCCACCCCTCAGGCCCCTAGGAGGCCAGACCCACCATTTATACAACATTTGTTCCCCTTCCCCTAAAGAAGCTTCTGACCAAATGTTTTCAAAATGTGCTTAGTTGTTCATGACTAATAGCGATTTTTAGGAAAAGTTGACAGACCTCGGGCCATTGGCATAAGCTCACTTGCCCTTCGGGCAGGTGATCTAAAAATGAGTTATATTTAGCCAAATCTAGGTATTTTTCTGCAACAGGCTATTACTGTAGAGCCATACCTATGCGGTTTACTATGAGCTTTTGTTTCTGTAGACAATTATCTAGCTATACAAGTTACCATGAAGTTAAATAGTTACCATATCTAGATATTTCTCTGTTGTCAGTGAGTTGTTTCTTGGTCGTTGTTCGTAAGTTCTGCTTCGGAATCTGCTTCAGAAACCCAGGCCATGTAAGTGTTCCAACCAAGGGCAACAAAGTTTACTACCAACACTCTGCAAAGTAGACACATACAGGGAATTGCTTTACAGGTAATCTTGTAAAGAAAGACAAGAGGCCCAGAGTGCCTGTATCGCTCACCTGGATAATAAATTAACCATGGAAAATTATTCTTGTTACAAATAACAACTATTTTCAATATTGGCTCTGTTTCTCAGCAACACCTGTCCCTCGTTTGGTCTCTTCTTTTTGCCCCCATGAATTGGTGGATTTTAAACATAAACCTCAATATCCCCTATTGGGCCCGCCTCTCTGCCCCCTAAAAATAACCCTCTATTTACATGAATACAATAGTGAGTCCCCTTTGCCCAAGGATGCTCTACACAAAATTTAGTTAAAATCCCTTCAAATAAACTGAAGGAAAAGGATTCTAAACCTGCATAGGATGGTGATATTTAGCCAGCAGCATGGTCAGAGGAAGAGATATCAAGGTTGTTCAATGAATGACCTTGACCCACTTTCAAGGTCATTTATGGTCAAATATGTATAAAGCTTTAAATGACCTCCTCTCATTACCCTAAACAAAATGTCTTGAATGAGGATATTTTAATTCGTACTGAAAGAGTAGGATTTCAAAGATTAATCTTAATTCCTTGTGCCCATCCCTCTGCCTCTTGGGGTGCCACACACTCCATTTTTATATTGTTGATTTCCCTTCAGACCATATATGGTCATATGTATTCAGTCATTCTGGACTTGCAGCATTTTAAATGAAAATATGTCAATGGATGGACAGATGAAAGATGGACAGATGAATGATGGACAGACAAACGATGGACAGAAGAACGATGGACAGACGAACGATGGACAGAAGAACGATGGACAGACGAACGATGGACAGATGAAGGATCGATGGACAGATGAAGGATTGATGGACAGAAGAACGATGGACGCTGCACCATGGGATGACCTCACTTGGCCCTTTGAACCAGGAGAGCAAAATAAATGTTTACCTGTGTTTAATAATAGATAAACCTTACCTGACCATCTGCATTGGACAGGTGAAATTATTTTCCTATGGTCAATAGATGAGAAACAGATAATTAAGTCTAGAGCTTATTACTGTTAGCGTAGATGTATAAGTGTATTCCAATTTTAGTGTTTTTCCCGCTTTAAATATTGGGCTAATTAATGTTTTTGTATGTAGATTCCAATTGCATACACTGGCCAATTCACCAATGCACTTAATATCTGTTAAAATTTGATAATATGCTCAAATCAGTTGCAAAGTATTAAAGCAAGCTAAAATCAAACCTGCTCAAGAGCCTCAGAATACAGGTTGATTGTACATAATTAAAAAGTTTGGATAATCAGGGTTTTATAATTTGTATTCTACGAGAGAGAAATACCTCTGCATTGTATAGGTGAGACACACTTACCTGTGTTGTAGAGGCACAAGGTAGAAGTTTACTAGTTGTATAGGTGAGACACACTAACCTGTGTTGTAGAGGCACAAGGTAGGAGAGAGAAATACCTCTGCATTGTATAGGGGAGACACACTTACCTGTGTTGTAGAGGTACAAGGTAGAAGTTCACTAGTTGTTAAGGTGAGACACACTTACCTGTGTTGTAGATGCACAAGGTAGAAGTTCTCTAGGTGTATAGGTGAGACACACTTACCTGTATTGTAGAGGCACAAGGTAGAAGTTCCCTAGTTGTATAGGTGAGACACACTTCCCTGTGTTGTAGAGGCACAAGGTAGGAGAGAGAAATACCTCTGCATTGTATAGGGGAGACACACTTACCTGTGTTGTAGAGTCACAAGGTAGAAGTTCACTAGTTGTTAAGGTGAGACACACTTACCTGTGTTGCAGAGGTACAAGGTAGAAGTTCACTAGTTGTTTAGGTGAGACACACTTTCCTGTGTTGTAGAGGCACAAGATAGAAGTTCACTAGTTGTATAGGTGAGTCACACTTACCTGTGTTGTAGAGGCATAAGGTAGAAGTTCACTAGGTGTATAGGTGAGACACACTTACCTGTGTTATAGAGGCACAAGGTAGAAGTTCACTAATTGAATTGGCGAGACACACTTACCTGTGTTTTAGAGGCACAAGGTAGAAGTTCACTCGTTGTATAGATGAGACACACTTACCTGTGTTGTAGAGGCCCAAGGTAGAAGTTCACTAGTTGTATGGGTGAGACACACTTACCTGTGTTGTAGGGGCACAAGGTAGAAGTTCACTAGTTGTTAAGGTGAGACACACTTACCTGTGTTGCAGAGGAACAAGGTAGAAGTTCACTAGTTGTTTAGGTGAGACACACTTTCCTGTGTTGTAGAGGCACAAGGTAGCAGTTCACTAGTTGTATAGGCGACACACAATTACCTGTGTTGTAGAGGCACAAGGTATAAGTTCACTAGTTGTATAGGTGAGACCCACTTACCTGTGTTGTAGAGGTACACGGTAGAAGTTCACTAGTTGTATAGGCAACACACACTTACCTGTGTTGTAGAGGCATAAGGTAGAAGTTCACTAGGTGTATAGATGAGACACACTTACCTGTGTTGTAGAGGTATAAGGTAGAAGTTCACTAGTTGTATAGGCAACACACACTTACCTGTGTTGTAGAGGTACAAGGTAGAGGTTCACTAGTTGTATAGGCGACACACACTTCCCTGTGTTGTAGAGGCACAAGGTAGCAGTTCACTAGTTGTATAGGTGAAACAAACTTACCGGTGTTGTAGAGGCACAAGGTAGAAGTTTACTAGTTGTATAGGTGAGACACACTTACCTGTTGTGTAGAGGCACAAGGTAGAAGTTCACTATTTGTCTAGGTGAGACACACTTACCTGTGTTGTATAGGCACAAGGTAGAAGTTCACTAGTGGTATAGGCGACACACACTTACCTGTGTTGTTGAGGCACAAGGTAGAAGTTCACTAGGTGTATAGATGAGACACACTTACCTGTGTTGTAGAGTCACAAGGTAGAAGTTCACTAGTTGTTTAGGTGAGACACACTTTCCTGTGTTGTAGAGGCACAAGGTAGGAGTTCACTAGTTGTATAGGTGAGACCCACTTACCTGTGTTGTAGAGGTACACGGTAGAAGTTCACTAGTTGTATAGGCAACACACACTTACCTGTGTTGTAGAGGTACAAGGTAATAGTTCACTAGTTGTTTAGGTGAGACACACTTAACTGTGTTGTAGAGGCACAAGGTAGAGGTTCACTAGTTGTATAGGCGACACACAATTACCTGTGTTGTAGAGGCACAAGGAAGAAGTTCACTAGTTGTTTAGGTGAGACACACTTTCCTGTGTTGTAGAGGCACAAGATAGAAGTTCCCGAGTTGTATAGGTGAGACACACTTACCGGTGTTGTAGAGGCACAAGGTAGAAGTTTACTAGTTGTATAGGTGAGACACACTAACCTGTGTTGTAGAGGCACAAGGTAGGAGTTCACTAGTTGTATAGGTGAGACCCACTTACCTGTGTTGTAGAGGTACAAGGTAATAGTTCACTAGTTGTTTAGGTGAGACACACTTTCCTGTGTTGTAGAGGCACAAGGTAGGAGTTCACTAGTTGTATAGGTGAGACCCACTTACCTGTGTTGTAGAGGTACAAGGTAATAGTTCACTAGTTGTTTAGGTGAGACACACTTTCCTGTGTTGTAGAGGCACAAGGTAGAGGTTCACTAGTTGTATAGGCGACACACACTTACTTGTGTTGTAGAGGCACCAGGTAGAAGTTCACTAGTTGTATAGTTGAAACAAACTTACCTGTGTTGTAGAGGCACAAGATAGAAGTTCACTAGTTGTATAGGTGAGCCACACTTACCTGTGTTGTAGAGGCATAAGGTAGAAGTTCACTAGGTGTATAGATGAGACACACTTACCTGTGTTGTAGAGTCACAAGGTAGAAGTTCACTAGGTGTATAGGTGAGACACACTTACCTGTATTGTAGAGGCACAAGGTAGAAGTTCCCTAGTTGTATAGGTGAGACACACTTACCTGTATTGTAGAGGCACAAGGTAGAAGTTCACTAATTGAATTGGCGAGACACACTTACCTGTGTTTTAGAGGCACAAGGTAGAAGTTCACTAATTGAATTGGCGAGACACACTTACCTGTGTTTTAGAGGCACAAGGTAGAAGTTCACTAATTGAATTGGCGAGACACACTTACCTGTGTTTTAGAGGCACAAGGTAGAAGTTCACTAATTGAATTGGCGAGACACACTTACCTGTGTTTTAGAGGCACAAGGTAGAAGTTCACTAATTGAATTGGCGAGACACACTTACCTGTGTTTTAGAGGCACAAGGTAGAAGTTCACTAATTGAATTGGCGAGACACACTTACCTGTGTTTTAGAGGCACAAGGTAGAAGTTCACTAGTGGCACTGCTGGCCATATCTGTAGAGGCACAAGGTAGAAGTTCACCAGTTGTTTAGGTGAGACACACTTACCTGTGTTATAGAGGCACAAGGTAGAAGTTCACTATTTGTCTAGGTGAGACACACTTACCTGTGTTATAGAGGCACAAGGTAGAAGTTCACTAGGTGTATAGATGAGACACACTTACCTGTGTTGTCGAGACTCAAGGTAGAAGTTCACTAGTTGTATAAGTGAGACCCACTTACCTGTGTTGTAGAGGTACAAGGAAGAAGTTCACTAGTTGTTTAGGTGAGACACACTTAACTGTGTTGTAGAGGCACAAGGTAGAAGTTGACTAGTTGTATAGGTGAAACAAACTTACCGGTGTTGTAGAGGCACAAGGTAGAAGCTCACTAGTTGTATAGGTGAGACACACTTACCGGTGTTGTAGAGGCACAAGGTAGAAGTTCACTAGTTGTATAGGTGAAACAAACTTACCTGTGTTGTAGAGGCACAAGGTAGAAGTTCACTAGTTGTTTAGGTGAGACACACTTACCTGTGTTGTAGAGGTACAAGGTAATAGTTCACTAGTTGTTTAGGTGAGACACACTTATCTGTGTTGTAGAGGCACAAGGTAGAAGTTCACTAGTTGTATAGGTGAGACACACTTACCTGAGTTGTAGAGGCACAAGGTAGAAGTTCACTAGTGGTATAGGTGAGACACACTTACCTGTGTTGTAGAGGTACAAGGTAGAAGTTCACTAGTTGTATAGGTGAAACAAACTTACCTGTGTTGTAGAGGCACAAGGTAGAAGTTCACTAGTTGTATAGGCGACACACACTTACCTGTGTTGTAGAGGCACAAGGTAGAAGTTCACTAGTTGCACTGCTGGCCATATCTGTAAAACATGGAATGGAAATCAACAGTTATCTATAATTTAGCTGAGAGCTAATTTTGCCATTTTTTTGTACATTATTTTCCCTTGTACAATTATTACATGAAGTTAAACATTTAGAAAAGTTCTTTGGGAAATATGACTCTGCCAAACTTAAGCAAAATTTGAGTAATTTCTCCTGTTCTGTAATCTTGATCAGGTGTTCAATACTTTCAATAATTTAAGTAGAATGCCAAGTGATATTGCAGCAGAATTTGACAACACTGCATTCCAAAGGATAGTATTCAGAAAACTGTCCAAAGGAACTCAACTTACAGGCATGTATGCATGAATGTGTCACACCAGCAGAATCCTAGCTGTAACTCTAAAGTTGGCCGTTTAAAAAGACCCGTTATAAATTAGTCCCACGAAGTATCAACAAAGTCAGTTCAATAGAGCACAAGTTATAAAGAACTATAATTGTCACAGCCACTCAAAGGCAAAAGCCGTCATTACAAATCTCAACAAGAGGCCCAAGGGCCTTAGCGGTCACCAGAGTTATATCATAGGTACTGGTAGCTTTATTTTATTGTTTAGATGTGATGTGGAAATCAGCATGTAAACTAAGTGAAATACAATACTTGTCATGTCGTCAAAGGATAAGAATTTGAAAATATTGGTAAATGTTCCCTTTGGGGCCCGGCCCTAGCCCCTGGGGATTGGGCAGGAATCCCAATTTTCCGAAGTAATACTCTCATTCACCAAAGATGATTCTGACTAAATTTGAGTAATTTTCTATTGAAAATGAATAAAATATACCCAAAAGTGTTATTTCCCTATATAAACTATAGTAAACTTTACCCCCTCCCCAAGGGAGAATGGATACCTCGGGCGGTTCTGAAATTTACAATTTAAATAAAGCCACTGATGATCTTTCCATCCATACAGAGAAAATGACTGTAGTACCTGTGTGTCTGGAGAAGAAGAGTTTTGAAATATTGGTTAATTTTCCCTTTGGGGCCCTGCCCTGGCCCCTAGGGTTGGGCTAGGAATCCCAATTTTACAATTTAAAACCATCTTCCTCCAAGGATAATTCTCACTAAGTAAGAATAATTTCCAACAGAAAATTGTCAAAATATACCCAAAAGTCTTGTTTACCTATATAAACTATAGTAAACTTTACTCCCTCCCCAAGGGAGAACGGATAGCTCGGGCGGTCCTGAAATTTACAATTTAAATAAAGCCCCTGATGATCTTTCCATCCATACAGAGAAAATGACTGTGGTACTTTTGCGTCTGGAGAAGAAGAGTTTTGAAATATTGGTTAATTTTCCCTTTGGGGCCCTGCCCTGGCCCCTAGGGTTGGGGTAGGAATCCCAATTTAACAATTTAAAACCATCTTCCTCCAAGGATAATTCTCACCAAGTAAGAATAATTTCCAGCAGAAAATTGTCAAAATATACCCAAAAGTGTTATTTCCCTATATAAACTTTAGTAAACTTTACCCCCTCCCCATGGGAGAACGGATAGCTCGGGCGGTCCTGAAATTAACAATTTAAATAAGGTCCCCGATGATCTTTCCATCCATGCAGAGAAAATGACTGTAGCACCTCTGAGTCTGGAGAAGAAGAGTTTTGAAATAGTGGACAACGACGACAGATGGAAAGTGATTGGAATAGGTCACTTGAGCAAAGCTCAGATGACCTAAAAATTGAAGTCGGCCATTCAAAACAAGGTCACAGGGTCAAATGTGTTTAACTCTTTGAACAGGTTCTTTTAAATGACTGAGTCAAGACACTGATAGTTTGCCTGTAGCTTTATTTTAATCCACTTTGAATGTTACAATTGTGAGATTAATACCAGGTAAGCAACACAGTCCCATTGGGCCTCTTGTTTTATTTATGAGAAATCATTCAAGTTTTTGACATTTTTGACCCCTGTGACCTTGAATATAGATGAAGGTCATTCATTTGAACAAATGTAGCCATTTATCCCAGCATGCTTTTGGCCAAATGCCATCCCCCTGGACCTTTTGGTTATTCAGAAGAAGTCATAGAAAAAATGTCAACAAATTTGACCCCTGTGACCTTGATATGGGTGAAAGTCCTTCATTTGAACCAATTTGGAAGCCGTTCTATCCAGGATGCTACTGGCCAAATATCATCAACCTAGTCCTTTTGGTGAGTCTGTATAAACCAGTCATATACAGACAGATTACAATGTGTTACCAGGTACACTGGACCCTGTATAAACCAGTCATATACAGACAGATTACAATGTGTTACCAGGTACACTGGACCC